CTAGCCTTCAACTCGAATTCGGTAGGAAAAAGCGCGCAGGACGCCGGCGAAAGCGCAATCTAATGCAAAAGTTGCTTTCTGAGAAAAGTACAGTGGGCATTAGCAGTACAAGGCATGTAGTGGTTTGCACGTGTCTGTCAAACTGCAGTGGTTACGGGGAAGACATCAACGGACTGGAGTTGGTTCGGGGAGGATGGGGGTTTAGTACATTTGTTCAGAAAGGGAGTGCATCAATTATCGGGGCAATTCCATATTTAGCCTCCCAGGTAAAGTCTCCGAAAAGGTGTTAGAAAGGAGGTGCCGCGGAATAACTGACTCCAAGATAAAGAAGAGCAGTGTGGCTTCTGGCCCGATCGAAGCACCTCTAACCGTGTATTCGTCCTATGCCATGTTCGTGGCAGTTCATCGTCCATCCGCAGTACATGTGCTTCGTTAACTTTTAAAAAGCGTAGGACCGGCTCCCGCGCATAAGTCTTTGGGCATACCTGCGAAAATATGGGACCGATTGCCAGTTGTTACGGGCCATCCAATCACTATATGCTGATAGCAGATGCAACAGAGTAAATAGCGTTAAGCCGAAATCTTTCAGCGTTGGCACTGGTCTCCGCCAAGTCTGAGTTTTGTCACCTCTCCTGTTTGTGTTGTAGTCAGGCAGAGCCAAGACCATGAGTGTATCAGCGTAGATGTTAAGACGATGAGATTCCTGTTTGTACACGACCTTGCTTTCTTGCCATGTTCTGAAACTGATCTCAAGCTCTCTCTGGTTCGCAGCACAGTGCGTCGTGGCTGGCATGCATGTGAACGCATCTAAAACGAAAAGCCTAGTGCTTTCTCATTCTTCTGCCCTCTGCTCTCTTCAGATTAACAGAGAGGCAGTGGAGCAGGTGGAGAAGTTCAAGTACTTAGGAGTCATATTAAGTAGTGATGGAAAGTTTGAGGAAGAAATCAACCGGCGAATTTGAGTAATCAGTGGCGTTCTGCGTGAACTAACCAGACCCATTGTGACTAAAGCAGAGCTCAGCCTGAAAACTAAGCTCTTGATGTTCAAGTCGATCTTTATCCCCATATTTACCTACGGTCATGAATCATGTACCTTCACTGAAAAACTTCAAACCCGGGTACAAGCTGCTGAAATGGGCTTTCTTAGACGAGTTGCTGGCCTTACGCATGTGGACATGGTCCGGAATACTGACATCCGGAAGAGCCTTGGTATACAGCCTTTGCTTCGACAGACTGAGAAGTCACAGCTGCGATAGTTTGGGCGTGTTAAGAATGCCGTGAGAAAGAAAGACGATGCAAGTACAGCTTGCCCAGCCGACCGGCAGAACACCCGGAGGACGGCCAAGATGAATCTGTTGCAAGTGTATTGAAGGTGTCTGCTCTAGACTCAGGTTGTCTGCCGCCGAAGCTCGGAAGCTGGCACATCGGTCGATCTTAGAAGGAACGGCTCCACGCTACACTCATACGGGAGCTCTTCAGCACCACGGTACTGGCGCGTTGAGATGCGTCAGTAAAACATAGTGTACTGTTCCTAACTAGGCAAAATGAAGAATGGCGAGCGATCGAAAGCGGAGAACGCTGAAAATAAATCCATTTTCAGAAAATGAAACCCAACACAACAGAGAACAGGTTCGTCAAACCATTATAATGATAGACATTGTGCAGAAGGCAAAGAAGAACAGACCTAAGTGGAACAAACACATTATCCGTTCAAACAACGTTCGCCGTAATTGAACGGTATCTGACTGATATGAAATGCACTAGTGGTACATCGCAAATGGGTTTGGAATATCTAGCAGTGAAAGGTCTCAAATACGGTGATCTCCAACGTCTCTGAAACGATAGAATAACGCATCGAC